GTGTGTGAATTATTGGTTCGTGGTGCTAGCGAATTATAATAATATATCCATACCAAGTAAATGTATTTGTTATAAAAATTACAGAATCGTTCCAACGTTTTACAATGCCGTGGAATGATCTTGTAATATATTATACACGGTTCATAAGTAAATTATACCATCGGTATCATAGGAACAATACTTTATCTATGTAAAAAAGCAAAAGGGATATAAAAACAAATAACGTACAGTTTGCTAAACAACTTCTATTTATGTATATATTAAAATGAAAATAATAATAACGACAACATGATCCGTAAAGAAAAAAAGGAAATCCATGTAAAACACATACATATATAGAAATACACATATTTTTTAGGGTTGTTTACATGATCAGCCTTAAGATTTGATTGAAATTAAAATGCAATGTGTATACAACATATATGGATATATATCAGGCAGATCGCTATATACTGTGTTACGATTACCTACAATAACAATTGAATGTGAATAACTATCTTGCCATACCAAATGTTAGAAAGCACATCCATACATATATATATATTTCTACTTGGATAGCTTCAAATTTGTTTCACATAATGAATACAATTGACTATGCGGAGAAGAATATGATTAGTGTATTATAGATGGGAAAAGATACAGTTGAAGCAGAGAGACGGGGAGAGGGGGAGAGAGAGAGAGAGAGAGAGAGAGAGAGAATAAGAGATATAGGGGGCTACTCGGAAATTTGCGCATAACATTTGTAGTAAATTGCACGAAGCCTACGTACGTACACCTAAGCTAATCAGTCGTAATCATCTTTTATTAGAAGTTTTAATTTTATATATATTAAAAGGGAAAAAAAGAAGTAATTCTGAAGTATTTAATAGTCACGGTTAGCAGAGTTATATAAATAATGCCTGTGATAATAGTATCGTCAGGATAAGTTGTGTCCTTACAGAGTCTCTGATGTTGTTGCTAGGTAAATATAAATTAGAAGTACCAAAAGGAGATCCTATTAGCAACACCTTGCGGAAGGTGCGTTTATGTTCGATGCACAATAACACCGTACACAATGCCATCGATGGTCTCTAATGGTACGTTAAATACAAAAAGAAAAAAAGAAAAAGATATTGAGTAACAAAAAAAAAAACTTTAAAGAAGTAAAAATAACAAGAATGTGTTGCAAAATTTTTGCCAGTCGTATTTAATGAATAAAAAATAAATGAAAAAACTAAACTCATAGTGTAACGAATGGATGACCATTAATGAGAGGGTCTTTTACCTCACAAAATTATTATATTACGCTCACCTTATATATACTTGAATATTTTAGTATAGATTTACTCTATTTACATATTTTTATCTGTGGAAGACTACTTGGCTAATTTAGGCCACTGTTGAAATTCACCCCTTATTTGCCTTGATGTTTAAATTACAATAATAATATAAAAGAAAAAAAGAAACGAGAATTACTTGTTACGTAAATGGTAATTGTGATAGATTTTTTGATGATTTTTACAATCTCAAAAGTCTTATTATCCTAATATGTATAGAATTATAATAGTCACTCTACATAAACTACATAAAGAAAAACTCTGCTTACATTGTTGAAACTAATTATTAAACAACAAGAAGAAAAAGAATGTCTGAATAACAGGATATATATCACCCTATCCATAAGCAGTTCACAAAAGGAAGAAGGAAAGAAGGATACTGTTAGTCTATCGTATAATGTATTTCAGAATATGTTCTACGTATTACTTTTAACCAATATAATGTTTTTAATCGCTGATACACAGTTTCCAAGGCCTTTTGTTAGATGCCACCTAAGAACTATTTCGACACAATTTCGGTTTTTCTGATCGTTCTTTGTGTTCGTTTACGATGGTGTGCTACATGTGTGCAGCTTGAACAGCAAAAGATTAAAAAAAGAAAGAAAGTAAAGAAGGAATGTATTACACAAACATGAAACAAGTAAAAAGACGAAGAAATATATACGAGTTGCCGACAAATATCCTATGCTTTCGCGATTCTTCGGTGGACGAGACTTTTTGTTTGGTGTTCCGTTAATCGATCGGTTAATTAACGTATTAAACGTATTCTGGTTTCAAACATTACGGAGGGAGTGTGCGAGGATCGAGCCAGACATTCTTGAAAAATGAGTCGAAGTTAATTGTCGAATAATAATTGTGATTAATATCATCGTTGTCATCATTATTATTCCTCAATTACCAAACATCATCCGGAAACGGCTTTACCGTTTTCCGGATCTGCTTTATCGACACGCGACTCTGTTCAAAGTTTGCTATTTCATGCGTTCGGCGCGCACGCGCGAATTTCGAAAAACGAAGGATCGCGAAAATACACGAGACGTACGTGTTTACGAATATTATTCGTTAATGTTTGCTGCAGTTAGCGACAATGTCGTTCGATGAAAAGAAAAAACGACGAGCGACGAAAATCTGTCAGATCGGCCGTAAAAGACAATGAAGGATAGAAAAATTGTGTCGTTAATTGTAAGCGTCGCGATCAAACCGGAGAAAAAAATAAACACCGACGCGAGAACGCGAGAACATGTATCCGACCGACAGAAATTTCTGATGGGGGTGAAACGTATAAAAATATTCAAACGAATGTTCCTGATTTCGAACGATCGCATGACATTAATCGATATGCAATAAAATAAAACCCTCGCGTGTTTGTTTTTTTCTTTTTGTGGATATCGACAAGGAGGCATCTGCATATAACAATTGTCAATACGTATGTGTATGTATATGTATATGTACACGTGTGTACATACATATACGTGTGCAATATACATATGTATATTAACTATAGTACATATAAAGGTGAAAAACAAAAAGACGAATGAAAACAAGCAAAAAAAGCTAAACACACACACACACACACACACACACACACAACGCAACATTAAACTGAATTCTAGCCTACGGTTAATCATAGTCTTCCTAGTATCCTGGATAAAAGCTAAATGAAAGGCAAAAAAAAGGAACG